CAACATCCCCCCCCCCAACAACCCCCACCCTCAACACCCCCCCCCCCACAACCCCCCCCCTCAAAAATCCCCCACCCTCAAAACCCCCACCCCAACAACCCCCACCCTCAACCCTCCCCCACCCTCCCCCCCCCCAAACCCCCAACTCCCCCCACCCCCAACATTTCCCCCCCCCCAAAATCCCCCACCCTTTAAACCCCCCACCCTCAAAAATCCCCCCCCCTCAACATCCCCCACCCCAACATCCCCCCAACCTCAACATCCTCCCCCACCCCCAACACCCCCACCCTCAACATCCCCCACCCTCAACATCCCCCACCCCCCAAAAACCCCCACCCTTTAACACCCCCACCCCAACATCCCCCACCCTCAAACCCCCCCCCCAACACCCCCACCCTCACATCCCCCCCCCTCAACATCCCCCACCCTCGACATTTCCCCCCCCCCTCGACATCCCCCCTCCTCAACAAACCCCCACCCTCAACTCCCTCCACCCCAAAAATCCCCCCCACCCCCAACATTCCCTTCCCCCCAACAAAACCCCCCCCTTTAACAACCCCCCCCTCAAAAATCCCCCCCCCCTCAAAACCCCACCCTCAAAAAACCCTCACCCTCAACATCCCTCCACCCTTTAACTCCCCCCCCCCCAAAACCCCCCCCCCTCAACATCCCCCAAACCCCCAAAAATCCCTCTAAAACCCCCAACATCCCCCCACCCTCAACATCCCCCCCCCCTCAAAATCCCCCACTCCCCCAAAATCCCCCCCACCCTCAAAATCCCCCCCCCCTCAAAAATCCCCCACCCTCAAAAACCCCAAACCCCCCCAAAAACCCTCCCCTCAACATCCCTCCACCCTCAACACCCCCCCCCCTCAACACCCCCCCCACCCCCCCCAAACCCCCAAAATTTCCCCCCAAACCCCCAACAACCCCCACCCTCAACTCCCCCCCCCCCCCCCACCCTCAACATCATCCCCCCCCCCCTCAACATCCCCCACCCTCAACTTTCCCCCCCTCTCCAAAACCCCCCCCTCAACAAACCCCCCCAAAAAACCCCCCAAAAACCCCCCCCACCCCCAACAAACCCCCCCCCTCAACCTTCCCCCCCCTCAAAATCCCCCCCACCCTCAACCCTCCCCCCACCCTCACATCCCCCCACCCTCAACAACCCCCACTTCCCCAAAAACCCCCCACCCTCAACATCCCCCCCTCAACAACCCCCACCCTCAACATCCCCCACCCTCAAAAATCCCCCCACCCCAAAATCCCCCCCCCCTCACCAAACCCCCACCCTCAACATCCCCCACTCCCCAACATCCACCCACCCTCAACATCCCCCACCCTCAACATCCCCCACCCTCAACATCCCTCACCCTCAACATCCCCTATCATCTCTGCTCCAATTGTGTAAGAACATATACACTTTATATAAACAGTTTAACATTTCTTTACATTCTGTAGTGAATTATGATTTATGTTTTTATATACGATATTTCTGCAATTAGCCTCACAAATACTCCATTTTCTCTTACAATAAGAGCATGGGATGATACTAAAGTCAAAGTTAGACAGGAAATGGCAGACGCTTCCGCTGCTGCCTCTGCCACCATATTATGGCCTATTTTATTCATTCTAGAGTATATATCATGTTTCTGTGTTAATTATATTGTTTATTATGTCATATTAGATGAATTGTGATAGATAAATAAGCCATACAGTTGATATTAGTGTTATATTCAAGTATTTTGTCTTGTCTCCAGAGTGCAGGAACGGATTAACCCTTTACCGCGCGGTGCCTCAATACTGAGGCACCAAAAGTATGGTTTTCATGGCGCCATAGACACAAAGCATATGCTCCCAGAGACTTCTCGCCTCAATCCAGCCAATCACACACCTTCTGGGTGGAGCTTGAAGGTGGCGTCACTTGGGTATTGTCCTCTGCTATTGGCTGGGAGCTCCTCGAGTGTTCAGTACTGCTTGACTTGTTGAAGGAGCAGCATTTCGACCCTCACTCTCCCAATATTTCACCAATTTACACCACTCCAGAATGTTGTTAAGTTTCTGAATGTGTTTCCAGTACATTACTGAATGTTTGAACTTCATTTTGAGATGTACATGAATTGCCTGAGGCACTGAGAAGTAACAAATAAATGCAATTGAAGTTTTGTTTACCTTTTAGGTATCAATATTGAGGCCCGGCCTGACAATGGTAGATTATCACTTACTGTTTTTGTATCAATATTGAGGCCCGGCCTGACAATGGTAGATTATCACTTACCATTTTTGTATCAATATTGAGGCCCGACCTGACACTGGTGATAAGAAATGGGCCAATGAAGGTATCACATATCATGGATTAACAGATCATAATTAGACCGTCTTTGTCACTGATAGCTAACAATTGCATGCTGAATCAAATTCATTGATATATGAGTAATTTTACCTTGTAAATTTATAAAATTTGCTCATATGGAATGCTCATTTTGTGTTTTCTGTTCATTTCAGTCGAACACAAATGCGTTTTATGGATCAAGGGCTCAAAGAAGAAGGGATTACATCGTGCCAGAGTTACATGATGACAGTGACCCTAATGAGGAAGTGGATTCTGGAGATGATTATGAGCCACAGGCAGATGATGCTTCTTCAAGTGAAGATGAACATGAAGATTTGTCTAAGAGAAGTGGGCAAGTTAATGTAAAATGAAGAAATATATGAAAACAAGCAGTTAAAGATGACGAGGTTGAGGTAGATGAAACAACTGTCAACAACACTAATGCCACCTAGAGCAAACTTGACATAACAAATACTCCATTACCTGACTACAAACATGAGGTACCAACACATATCAAGAAACCATTTCAATATTTTTGTGAATTATTTACTGCAGAAATATTAGAAAGCCTTGTATTTAACATGAACTTGTATGCAACACAGAAAGATGTTAATACTAACTTCAACACCACTAGTGAAGAGCTTATGCAATTTGTTGGAATTCTGATATTCATGAGTATGGACACCCTGCCCTCTTTAGAGGATTACTGGTCCCATTACCACTGTCATCCTGATATTACAACTGTTATGACATCTAAAAGGTTTAGGTCACTAAGGACAGCTATTCATATAAATGATAATACCAAGGCAACAGCTGACAGGTTCCATAAAGTAAGACCACTGTTTGAAGGTCTAAGAAAAGCATGCCTAACAGTTCCAGGTACACCAAAGCAATCAGTTGATGAGGTAATGGTGGGATATAAGGGAACAAGAGCAGGAAATCTCAGGCAATATATCAGGACCAAGCCTGATAAATGGGGATTTAAACTTTTTTGCCGGGCCAGCGATGATGGATTTATACATGACATAATGATGTATCAAGGTCAAACAACATTTGATTATCACAGTGTTAGCCTAACAGAGGAGGAGAAGAAAATGCCTATAAGTTCCAAAGACTATGGACCACACAAAAACCAGTGCAATTTATGCAGATAACTTCTTTACCAGTTTGCCTCTAGTGAAATATCTGCATGCTACATTCAATTGCTGGTACACAGGCACTGCAAGGGACAGCAGAATTGGAAAACCACCACTTATGTCTGTCAATGACATGGAAAAAACAAAGGTGAAAAGGAGTGCTATGGATTACTGTTCATTGGATGGTGTCCTTGCTGTACGTTGGAAAGACAGTAAGGTTGTTACTTTACTGACTAATGATATTGGCATCAACCCTGTGACAAAGATAAAGAGGTACAGCAAGGAGCTCAAACAAAAGGTGGAAGTTGATTGTCCTGCAGTGATAAAGAATTATAATGCCCATATGGGGGGCATAGATAAGAATGATATGTTGGTGCATCTCTACAAGTCTCCACTCAAAGCAAAACGCTGGTGCATGAGGCTCTTTGGATATATCATTGATCTTTGTTGTGTCAATGGCTGGTTGTTGTACAGGCGTCACTGACTGTGGTGTTTTGAAAGAGAAATACATGAACCTCAAGGAATTTCAGTTTTCCATCTCCCATTCTGCAAGAAAGTCAACCAATGGAATCCCAAGGAGCCTGAGATCTCCAAGTTGTTCAACTTCACGGTCTTCTTCAAGGTCTTCTTCACTTGATGACATTCCCAATCGGCATAGAAAAAGGTCTCATGATACAATATTTGATGAAACACAAAAACACTGGCCAGTTTCTGCAAAGAGGCTTTCATGTAAACATTGCAACACCAAGAACAAGAGGACCTACTCTCCTTGCCTTGTTCCTTCTGCAAGGTTAATTTATGTCTAAATTCAATGAGAATTGTTTCCTGCGAATTCCATAAGCAACAACATGCTTAAATTCCTCTGATAATATTTTTGTAACATTTTTTTCAATTTTTTATAAAATGTCAATTACTAAAAATGTCTTAAATTTATTGAAATCAAGTTTCTGTGCCTTTTGTTTACCCAAGTTGTTTATGAATAAACCTTAAATGTATATTTATGCCTTTAATTATCAGTTATAGCAGCTGTTATGATTCTTTTAGACAAATGCCTTTGTCAGGCTTGCATCAAATTTGATGCCTGATCTGTCACCTACAGTTTAACCATTGTCGGGGAGTGCCTCATATTTGATGCGGCCAAAAAGGGCATTTTATGGCCCAAAAATAAACTCAAAAAATGATCACAAATAAATATGTCTTAGAATTGCATATACTGTCACAATATAGGTTGCAATTGTTGCATCTGCTCAAATATGAGGCACGGCTTTCCTGTTAATTTAAATGAGGAAAATTGATTTGATATACGAGTAAATTGAGTTACAAGCTAGGTCACGGAACGGATTAAACTCATAAGTCAAGGTTCCACTGTAGATGCATTCTCTCATATCTAGGCCCAAATTTACTGCTCTCAGCTTACCTGAGTGAGCTGAGCTCATGACGTAGTACTATGGCAGTGACCCTGGCTTCAAACCTGTAAAACTATGGGATGGGCCCCTCAAAGGGTAAATGTTACTTCTGGTATGTTGACTCACCTGAATCTTGCTTCTGGCATGTTGGATTCTAGTCTCCACTCATCAGCTATGGGGTCATATCTCTCAATGATAACCATGTTGGTCACTACTAGTATAAATCCAGTGTTGGTCACTACTATTTATAACCAGCATTGGTCACCTAATTTATTATAACCAGTGGTTGTCACTACTTATTATAACCAGCGTTGTCATTACTTATTATACCATTGTTGGTCCTACTAATTATAACCAGTGGTTGGTCACTACTATATTATAACCAGTGTTGGGTCACTACTTATTATAACCAGTGGTTGGTCCACTAACTTATTATAACCCGGGGGGGGGGGGGGGGGGGGGGGGGGGGGGGGGGGGGGGGGGGGGGGGGGGGGCCGTTGTCACTACTTTATTATAACCAGTGTTTGGTCACTACTTATTATAACCAGTGTTGGTCACATATATTATAACCAGTGTTGGTCACTAACGATTATAACCATGTTGGTCCTACTTATTATCACCAGTGTTGATCAACTACTTATTATACCAGTGTTGGTCACTACTTATTATAACCAGCGTTGGTCACTACTTATTATAACCAGCGTTGGTCACTACTTATTATAACCAGTGTTGGTCACTACTTATTATAACCAGCAAATGGTCACGTACTTTTATTATAACCAGTGGTTGGTCACTACTATTAATAACCACATTGTCACTACTTAGTATAACCAGTGTTGTCACTACTTATTATAACCAGTGTTGATCACTACTTATTATAACCAGTGTTGGTCACTACTTATTATAACCAGTGTTGGTCACTACTTATTATAACCACGTTGGTCACTACTTATTATAACCAGTGTTGGTCACTACTTATTATAACCAGTGTTGGTCACTACTTATTATAACCATGTTGTCACTACCTTATTATAACCTGGCAATGGTCCACTACTTATTAGTAATCCAGTGTTGGTCACCTACTTATTATAACCACGTTGGGTCACTACTTATTATAACCAGTGTTGGTCCCACTACTTATTATAACAAAGTGTTTTGGTCACACGTATTAGAACCCCATTGGTCACTACTAATATACCAGATGTTGGTTCACTACTTATTTATATCCAGTGTTGGCTCTACATATTATAACCATGTTTTGTCCTACTTTTATAACCAGTGGTTTCACTACTTATTATAACCATGTTGGTCACTACTTATTATACCAGTTTGTCACTACTTATTATAACCAGTGTTGGTCACTACTTATTATAACCAGTGTTGGTCACTACTTATTATAACCAGTGTTGGTCACTACTTATTATAACCAGCATTGGTCACTACTTATTATAACCAGTATTGGTCACTAATTATAACCAGTGTTGGTCACTACTTATTATAACCAGTGTTGGTCACTATTATTATTCCAGTGTTGGACACTACTTATTATAACCAGTGTTGGTCACTACTTATATACCAGTGTTGGTCACTGTATTATAACCGATGTTTGGTCACTACTTATTATAACCAGTGTTTGGTCACTACTATTATACCAGTGTTGGTCACTACTTATTATAACCAGTGTTGGTCACTACTTATTATAACCAGTGTTGGTCACTACTTATTATAACCAGTGTTGGTCACTACTTATTATTAACCACATTGGTCACTACTTTATTAGAAACCATGTTGTCACTACTTATTATAACCATGTTGTCACTTCTTATTTTAACCACATTGTCACTACTTATTATAACCAGTGTTTGGTCACTACTTATTATAACCACGTGGTCACATACTTATTATAACCAGTGTTGTCCCTACTATTATAACCAGTGTTGGTCACATACTTAGTTATAACCAGTGTTGGTCACTACTTATTATAACCAGTGTTGGTCACTACTTATTATAACCAGCGTTGGTCACTACTTATTATAACCAGTGTTGGTCACTACTTATTATAACCAGTGTTGGTCACTACTTATTATAACCAGTGTTGGTCACTACTTATTATAACCAGTGTTGGTCCACTATTATTATAACCATGTTGATCACTACTTAGTATAACCAGTGTTGGTCACTACTATTATAACCCAGCGTTGGTCACTACTTATTAAACCACGTTGGTCACTACTCATTATAACCATTTTGGTCACTACTTATTATAACCAGCCAATGTCACTACTTATTATAACCAGTGTTGGTCACTACTTATTATAACCAGCATTGGTCACTACTTATTATAACCAGTGTTGGTCACTACTTATTATAACCAGTGTTGGTCACTACTTATTATAACCAGTGTTGGTCACTACTTATTATAACCAGTGTTGGTCACTACTTATTATAACCACGTTGGTCACCGACTTATTAAAACCAGTTGTTGGTCACGTACTTATAATAACCAGTGTTGGTCACTACTTATTATAAGCAGTGTTGGTCCACTAACTTTATTATAACCAGCAATGGTCACTACTTATTATAACCAGTGTTGGTCACTACTTATTATAACCAGCGTTGGTCACTACTTATTATAACCAGTGTTGGTCACTACTTATTATAACCAGTGTTGGTCACTACTTATTATAACCAGCTTGGTCACTAACTTATTATAACAGTGTTGGTCACTACTTTATTATTAACCGTGTTGTTCACTACTTATTATAACCAGTGTTGGTCACTACTTATTATAACCAGTGTTGGTCACTACTTATTATAACCAGTGTTGGTCACTACTTATTATAACCAGTGTTGGTCACTACTTATTAATAACCATGTTGGTCCCACATACTTATTATAACCAGTGTTGGTCACTACTTATTATAACCAGTGTTGGTCACTACTTATTATAACCAGCATTGGTCACTACTTATTATAACCAGTGTTGGTCACTAATTATAACCAGTGTTGGTCACTACTTATTATAACCAGTGTTGGTCACTACTTATTATAACCAGTGTTGGTCCCCTCTACTTATTATAACCAGTGTTGGTCACTACGTTATTAGTACAGTGATGGTCACTACTTAGTAGAACCCAGTGTTGGCACTACTATTTAACCAGTGTTGTCACTACTTATTATAACCATGTTGGTCACTACTTTATTATAACCCAAGTTGTTGTCACGACTTATTATAACCTGTGTTGGTCTACGACTTATGATTAACAGTGTTTTGTCACTACTTATTATAACCAGTGTTGATCACTACTTATTTATAACCATGTTGGTCACTACTTATATTAACCAGTGTTGGCACTACTTTATTATACCCAGTGTTGGTCACTACTTATTATAACCAGTGTTGGTCACTACTTATTATAACCAGTGTTGGTCACTACTTATTATAACCAGTGTTGGTCACTACTTAATTTTAGAAGAAATTGGGTCAAGTTAAATTGTGCTTTACATGTTATAGGATGTTAAGTGTTGTTGTTTATAATTATCTTCACATTTCAATGTTGATAACTTGATAATGCAACAAGAGAGCGGCTTCAAACTTAAGTTACTGGTGTACTTTAAGATGTAAGTCTCTCTGAGATAACAAGAGAAAGCTTCTTCGGTTCATATTACTGCAAGTTTTCAATTACATCTGCTCTGAGGATCTTTAATTCAAGAAACTGCCATATTAATTTCCAAATGATAACTTGTCAGCACATCTTCTCATTCTCTTCATATCTTCAAACATTAATATTTAATGTAGTATACCTAGTAGTGGAACTCTGTACACTTCTATTGTGGTGGCGCTCAGGTAAGAAGGCTGGGGTTATACCATACTGGGATACCTACTAATCACTGAGGTAGAGGAGGCGAGTTTATACAATACTGGGATGTCTTCCCTGGGATTGGCGCAACAGCATAAGCACACATACTGTATTTATTACAGGAGTTACACTTGAAACTCGGAAAGTCAAATGCGGAGGTTACTCTGACTGAAGGAGGTTAAAATCAGACAATCTCGTGAGTCTCCACGAACTCTTCCTCCACACTGTTCTAGAGAAGTTAGTTGAAGATGAAGTCACAGGAAGCTTCAAGAGCTCCAGCCATGTGTGAGCTCAGCAACACCGGTGATATACAATATACAACAACATTGCAACCAATATACACCACCAGATAACACTATATACAACAAAACAGTGGACCCCGCCCATAACGATGGCATCACATAGCGATTTTTTTCCGCATACCGCTTACTTTTAATCGCAAAAATTTTTGCCGCGCATACCGATTAAAAACCCCGCTCACCCGAATTTTCGTCCGAGACGCGTCATGTGCCCTCACTAAGTGCCCGCCCTCCATTGTTTACCCAGCACCTCCGCGTAACATCCAAAGCATAACACTCGGGATATTCGGATATTACAGTGTTTTTCGTGCTGTTGTCTGGAAAATAAGTGACCATGGCCCCCAAGAAAGCTTCTAGTGCAACCCTTGTGGTAAAAAAGGGTGAGAATTAGTATGGAAATTAAGCAAGATTTTTGAAGGGTTTGGGCTAACCCTGAGAAGCTATGCCAGTGGTGGAAATCCATTGTGCCTACTTCAAAGATTAAGGAAATGTGTGCACAGTGGTTTGAACGGCAAACCTTTATAATGAAAATCAACCTGAACAGCTGTCTGCAAGCCGTGCTGTGACTATTTCAATGACATGTTGTGGCCCATTTAAGACAAATCGTAAAGGAACGAGGTACAGAGCTCTATGGACATGATACGTAATTGATTATAACCAGTGTTGGTCACTACATTTGATTATAACCACTGTTAATCACGTACTTATTATAACAAGTGTTAGTCACTACTTGATTATAACCAGTGTGGTTCACACTATTATAACCAGTGTTGGTCCTAATTATAACCAGTGTTGGTTCACTACTTGATCAAACCAGTGTTGTTCACTATCTTATTAAACGCAGTGTTGTCACGTACTTTTTTATAACCAGTTGTTGGTCACTACTATTATAACCAGTGTTGAATCACAACTTAAAACCAGTGTGTCACTACTTATTATAAACCCAGTGTTGTTCACATTACTTATTATAACCGCAATTGTCACTACTTAATATAAACCAGTGTTTTGGTCACTACTTATTAAAACCAGT